TTTTCAAACTAGGTCTTCACGACCATGTCATCGACATAGCATTCAACTTTATTTCCAATAAAAGGAGAAAATATTTTATTTACAAGTCATTAGAAAGTTGCTCCAACATTTTTCAGTCCAAAGGGCATTTACTTTATAACAGTATAAGCCCATATCGATTACAAATGCATTTTTTCCTGGTCTTTTGGGTTCATCTGGATCTAGTTATAGTCGGAGTAGGCATCCATGAAGCTCAACAGCTCGTGCCTTGAGATCGCATCTACCAAGTGGTGTATTCTAAGGAGCGAGAAACTGTCCTTTGGACAGGCTTTGTTGAGGTCGGTGTAGTCGACCCACATGTGACACTTGTCGTTTGATTTTTTCATGAGCATTGTGTTGGCTACCCAACTCGAATATTGAACCTCTCTAACAAAGTCTACTACGAGGAGCTTCTCGATCTCCTCTACCTCTTTGGGGTGAGGTTCCTTTTCCTTTACCTTGTTGGTCTGACTAAAGGGTCCACATTAAGTTTATGAGTAATTATTGAGGGGTCTATGCCAAGCATTTCTATTGCTAACCATGCAAAAACATATAAATTTTGAAGTAAAAAGCTTACTAGTTGCGATTGAAGTGGTTTTTCCAAGCGAACTCCAATCTGGACTATCTTCTCAGGCTCAGTATCAAAGACGAAGACTAGGATAATATCCTCCATTGGTCGAGCTCGCTCGTCGGTGAGGGGTGGCTCCAGGTCAACATCATCCGCTAGTTTTTCCTTTCCCTTCAACTTTGCGATGTAGCACTTACGTGACTCCAACTGGTCGCCTCATACAACCTCTACTCCGTACCTCATCGGAAACTTCATGAAGAAGTAATAGGTTGACACCATCACTCGAAGTGCATGTAGGATAGGCCGACTTAGAATCATGTTATAGGGGGACTGGACCACCAAGAAGGTGTGCTCAAAACGGATTGAGTTGGGCTCCGATTCTGCTACAACTGGCACCTTGATTCGGCCTAAAGGCCTCACCACGTCTCTGCTAAAGTCGACAAGTGGTACATCTGTTGGCTGCAAGTCCTTCCTTTCCAGCTGCATCTTCTCGAAAGCCTTCAAGAAAATGATATAGACTGAGCTTCCGGAGCCAACCAAAATCCGCTTTACCTCAAAGTCATTAATTATCATCTTGACAATGAGGGCATCATCATTCGGATACTGGATCCCACGAGTGTCATCCTTGATGAAGTAAATGACTTCCTCCACATGAGGGTGCTTCGACGGGTTTTCATCTTCGTGCTTGAGCTTCCGAACTGAGTTCCTCCCTGCCACATTAGTTCAACTTTCCACAATCAAACCTCCGATGATCATGTTAAGCACCCCGCGAATAGGCTTCTCTAGTGGTGGTAGATCTTGATGTGGTTGACCCCTGTCCTAGTTCTTGCTAGACTCTAGCACTTCTCTTGGCTGATCTGCAAGTCAAATTTGGTCATCGTGCTTGATAAATTACTTCAGATAACCACGACAAATCAGTTTATCGATCTCATCCTTCATATTTCTACAACTCTCTGTATCATGGCATATGCCACAATGGAAGTGACAGTACTTGTTTAGGTTGCAGTTGGCAGGGTCGCCTCTCACTCTGGGTGGCCATCTCACATACTCGGTCATCCTTTATCTGCATCAATATCTCGCTCCTCTTTGCATTCAGGGTGGTGTAAATCTAATTCTAGACTAGAGGAGTTTTGGATCACCGGCCTAATCTGGAACTTTGGTGTGGAAACCTGCTCCTTCTTCTTGGCGACCTGCTTCGCCTACTACAGGGTGATTGGCTTCTCTTTGGTGACTTGCTCTTACACCAATGCTTGCTGCTCCTCGCTTCTTCTTCAACACACTTCCTCTTCTCAGTTAGCTCTAACCGGGATCCCAATGCCTCCTTTGCCTTGGTAAACTTGTTGGCCTGGTGGAGGAACTCCTCCATAGTGGATAGAGGGTTCAACTCTACTTCCTAGTGCAAGCCAGGGTGGCAAACATTGTTGACTTCTATGGTGAGTTGAACTACTAGGTTGAGGTTGGGAATTTGGAGGCATTCCAAGTTAAACCTCTTGATGTAGTCTCGGAGCATCTCATTGGGTCATTGAACCATGTTCAATAGGTAGGTTGCTAACTTAGGGCACCTCTTGCTGGTGGCAAAGTGCATTGTGAACAAATATGCAATTGGTTCCAACTCTTTATTGAGCCCACGGCTAGTCCTGAGTACCATATCCGAGTTGTACCTCAAAAACTTTTTGGAAAGGCCATGCAGAGGCTCACATCATTTGCCCCTTGAAGCTACATGAGGGCCTAGAAGTTGTCGATGTGATCTACAGGATCCGTCGTGCCATCGTAAGACTCCAGGTTGGGGGCTTTGAAGTCCTTGGGCCGTGGGGCCGTAAGGATCTTTGGTACCAGTGGAGAGGTGCAAGTCACCTGCGATGTTGCTGGCAGTGTGACGACCTGGCTCACCTCCCCTTTTCTGTCTACCTCCTCATTGTTGGTGGGAGCGAGGTGTCTTCTCCTAGTGTGGTGACGTGCACGTCAACGATGCCTTCTCCTCGACACCTTAGTTGTACTGTTGCCTTCTATCCTAATGGTGTCGTGGCTCTACTATGTTCTTCAACTGGGACCTAGTTCTGATTGTCAATGTGACGAGGTGCATTTGGGACCTAGTCTTGGTTTCTATGGTCGGTCTGTTGGTCGCCTAGAAGCTGATTTTGTTGTTACTATTGCTGCTATTGAGGTTGTTGTTGCTATGGCTGTTGCATGAAGGAAACAAACCTTTCCTCCCATGTCTACACCTGGAGATTCATACCGCGAACGTACCACACCAATTCGTGGAACTGGCAGAAATCGATTCCAGTAGGAACCATTGATGGCTCGACCGGAGGGAGAGGCATGTTCACTCGGTGTAGAGGGAAGGCTTGGTTTGGCATTGTTGGCACGCCAAGCAAAGTTAAGGGCATTGTGAACTGCCCAATGGTCACGGAAGAGACTTCTGGATGTGCTCCATGCTGGTTTTGCCCCCTTGTGACCCGGTTGTTGTTGGTGGGCTGGTTGTTGCTTGAAGATGTCATTGGATTAGTAGAAATAAGAGAGCAATGTGAGACTACAACTTTTTGTTGTGTGTTCCCACAGACGACACCAATTGATGATGCATGATCTGGTCACTCCTTGCTGGAAGGTAGCTCGAACATCAGACTAGCTACATGGTTGAGTTGAACTGCAAGGCAAGAAGTTCAGAGTGACTCGGGGTGCTTTACAAAGTGTGGGCACTCCGATGCTTAAGTTAGCGAAGGAGGTTTGAGAGAGCCGATAGGTTTAGAATGGTAGAATGTGAGAGCTAAATCGTGTGTACCTTGTGAGATTAGAGGCGAAGCCTTTATATAGACAAGCTTCCATGGGCCTCACAATGCATGTCCGAGATCACCGACCTGTCTAATCCGGAGTCAATTCCGCACCCGAAGATGGGCTCTGAGTAAGTTGATAAGGCTTATATAGGTTCATCCGATTTGGGCGGGGTAGAGATAAGATCCGATGACGTGTGTCGTGATCCGAGGAGATCGAAGACAGCTGACTTGCTTTTAGATGGAGGCTATGTGGCACCTCAATAGGTAGGTGAGTGTGGCGAGCTGCTCAGGCCCGGTCTTAGCTAAGTGACCTTAGGTGCCCGATGTGACTAGGACTATTGAGGTGTCCGAAAATGCTGAAATGTCGCCAAGTCATTGCACCACTCCACATGCCATCAAGTCATTGAACGGGCAAAATTATCCCTCATCATTATCCATGTCTTATTTGTAGAGCTTTGACAAAGGTGTTCATGGTTGCTAAAGAACACCTTCTAAGAGTACTAGGCATCCATATAATTGGTGAGCCGATGGTTTGTATAAGCACACGTACTTGCATTGTATTTTATGTTTATTAATGGTTTGAAGAGAGAGAAGTCTAGTAAACACGACTTTGTAATGAGGATGAATGGTTAAAGAAACCATATGTTTTCCAATGGTTCATGCATCAAAAAAGCTTTATTTCTGCACTACACGTGTTTTTCAATTGGCTCCGAATCTTTGGGAGCAAAGTGAACGTTCTTCACATGAAAGTTTCAGGGGAAAAGATATGGTATGGAAAGAGTTTTGATAAATAATGCCTAATTGGCTATCAAGTTTTTTATTCCAATTGACTGGTCTGAAGTCTTTCAGATATCGAACCCTTATCTTTCTAGTTTTATACATCCAAAATCTAGGAAAAGTGAAACACAACTAGTAGAAATAGATAGAAACTATTTGAGTAACTTTCCCCTCTTTAAATCCATTACAATACATATGACTTGATTGTAGTAGGAATTAGTAATTAGCTTTCTATCTTCTTTAAATCCATGCACAGTGCCAGCTTCTTTTGTGGTGGAAAAGTTGGCAGATGGATTGTAGTCTTCAATGTCATCATCTTTTAATTTCATTTATTGAAATCCTGATGAGCTGACTTCATTTTTATACGCGCGCTTATTTCAGAACTTAGCAGCCAGAAAGGTGTCCTTATTGCAGGGATGATGAATTAATCTGCTACTCTTGGAAATTAACAAAGCTACAACCAGATTACATACAGTTGCATCCAGACATGCAGCTAATTAAATGTGTTTTTAGTCTAAGTTTTTGACACGATATGCATGTAGAACTAGAAGAATCTTGGCCAGCTTCAACGATAATGATATTTTACAGTTAAATCCCACTATTGTCCATTTTTTCATCATCTTAACATCTCTACTAACTTATTGTTCAATGTGTACTTTTAAGTAATTAATTAACAATAATTCTGTGTGCGCCCGGTTGTGAAAATACTGGAAATTAAAATCTTTGACAAACCAAACCTTCTTGCAAGCAAGAGCTAGCATTGATCGATGTTGATTTAATATTAAAAGAAAAGAGAAACAAAATGACAAAAACTTTCTACGTTATATTATTAATTATTTCACGTCGATTACAGTATATGATCGATCCCGAACAAACGAAGTTCAGAACACCATCCTGATCAGTTCACCCAATTGTCAAAATTATATAGTTACAAACTTACAATGAAAATCCCAGATTTTTCTTAAAAAAAATAAAAAAAAAAGAAATGAAATGAAATGGGGAACAGAAAGCGTGTGATAACAGGGAGAGTGGAACTATCTCGGATTCTGGGCGCTGAGTCTCCTCCGGCTTTCAGCCCCGAAAGATGTACGTAGTTATTGTGTTGGAAACAAGTGCATGTTCACTATTTGTTGTTATTTCCCTCACAACCAAGAAGATCTTCTAACAGCTTATCATCAAGACACTCAATTTCAAAGACGACTTGCTTCCCATGCGGATGCGGCCCAGTAGTAGTAGTATTGGACCTCTCCTTCGAATTCTCTGCATTATCAAATGCAGAGGAGGAGGAAGACGACGATGACCCCGTCGACGCCGGAGAAAATGGGTAGTCATTATGAATTGAGGATTGATATTGGGTAGGGAAATTGAGAATGGTGGAAGGACCCCTGATTGCATAGGCTGCCCGGTCATAAGCACGTGCCGCCTCTTCGGCAGTAGTGAAAGTACCCAGCCACAAGCGCGCACCGTTTCTGGTGGAATCGCGGATCTCGGCGGCGAACTTGCCCCAAGGTCTCTTCCTAACGCCTCTGTACCGTACCTCTCTTCCTTGATCGTCTTGCTTCATCTTCCCTTCTGCGTCTCCTTCCATCCGAGTGCCATGCCCCCAAGGACTTATATATAGGATTGTAGCTGATGCTCTAGAAGCTTTCAAATTGGGTGGAAAAGTTTATGGGGAAGCTGCAATTAATCCAACAGGTCGGAGTTGTTAACACATGGAATTTATTGACCCTTCGATTAGTTGTTTGTGGGAGAAGTATACAGATGTATAAAAATTCAAAATGTTAAATACCCCAATCCTATATATCAATCTTCGCCTGTGAATTGACATCAATTTTGAGCAGGCATCTACTTCAAATTTAAGTTGGACTTAACAATTCTAACGATGGACTGAATGTCATTCTCTAGTAATTTTTTGGTACTAATTTCTCTTAGGTTCATCAAAATAACAATATTATGAGTGGCAAAGAATAAAGGTACTTCTAAATTCTGACTGAATGTTTTGAAAACTGAAAAGGGAATAGAGCCTAAGAAGGGCCTAATTCTAGGTTATTCTGGTTCAAATTAATGGTTTAACCTGTTCATTCGGGTAGTGACAGTCAATTTTTAAACAGTCAGAATAGTCAATTGACAAAAACGATCAACTTCAAAGAATAAAGAAATATTTAGTCAATTAACTAAATCATATAAAAATAGTTTAAAAAATTTACCGAAAAAAATCATCTACCACTGATGTGATGGTCACAGATTATGCTGTGCCGTCGCTGCCGCTAACCAAGTTATGGTATGGGCACTCTGTCTGTCCCTAGACCATGCATTTGCTGGATCTTAGATTCTTAGATTCTTTAGTGGCCCCTCGGTCCCAGACCCAACCTCTTAGAATCATCTAGCCCACGAAACTACACAGAATTTAAATCTTGATTCATGTGAACTGCACTGAGAAACTTGCAGTTGTACGTGGAATGCGAATCGTAAGTCATCGGTCGTAACACAAAAATAATCTCCACACTAGTCACTTTGCATTATGGAATTAATAATGTTAAATCTATATTTGTTAATATTTTAAATAATTATTGACGGAGAGTGATTTGACCTGATCTGCTAAGAAGGCGACATGTGGACGTGATTCAGTATAAGCAACAGCTCAGTAAGACAGTCTGGCTACAACTGAGTAGCGAGCTCGTTAAGGTCCTCCCAGGACAGCTCGCTACAATACAGATTTGCCACAGAATGAGCTCGCTATAGCGCGAGCTCAGGGACCCCGGCATGCGGGAAAGGAATACTCCAAGACAAGTCTATCCCAGCTCGGGAGTTGAGAGAATCAGCTCGCTCCAATACTTAGGCAAAAAGACTACCCCAAAGGCAACCTTAGGCGGAATCACCTCGGGACACATCCAGGAGTCCCTACAAGGCAGCTCGCTATGGGATAGCTCGCTACAAAGCAGCTCACTATTAAGCGACACGGAGTTCTCAAGAAGCTTCTTATCTAACAAGATCGTACCCATCAAACTGCATCACGTCTCCTGACTGACGGCGCAGTCCCTGCCAACCCAGCAAACTACACCCACGTCCCTCGACAAGTGGTGGCATGTCTGTCCTTTCCGGGTCATGTCTCTCATCCAATTGGGTAGTACCCTGCAACAATTACCTGTGCAGACCGGGCAAATAACGGCTGCAACAAAGAGCCAGTGGCGGTTACGCCCGTTTTGACAAGAACACCTACATTTAAAGGCCCCAGGGTCGAAGGGGCGAAGGTATCTTGCATCTTGTATCTTGAGTTAGTCTCGAACTTTCATTGATCTAGCGCTACCTGCACTCTTAGCTCTCTTTGCATTCCTTACCACTTTCTCAAGTGTTCTAAGTTAAGCATCGGAGTATTCCCACCGGGCAAGCCCCCCGGGAATCCTTCACCGTCTTCTCCTCAGGTACCGCCTATCGCCAGCTAGGAACCAGTCGACTGCTAGCTAGGAGTGCCTGGATCGCGCTGCATCATTTGGTGTCATCTGTGGGAATTACTTCAAAAAGCCTTCCTCTAATCTCCACAACTCCCTCTCAAAAACTCAACATTCATGGCTTCCTCTAGTAATGTCGGGCATGGTGCCGACCAGAACGCTCCTGGGAAACAACCTAAGCTCCCCACTATCTGCATTGGATAGTTCACCGTCACCCTCTCCATGGACGGAATTCCCAACTTGAACGTGCCTCACACAGTGGCACGTGTGAACGCTCCACTCCCTTCCGCGGTTGGAGCAACCTTTACTGAACCTTCCGTTGTTCCCCCATTAAGCAACCAAAATTAGCTTGAAGACCTAGTGCAGTGCATGCGAGCCATGCAAGCTCAAATGCAACAGTTCCAGCACTTTCAACTCTACCAACAGCAAGTGTTGCATCAAGTTTCTCAGTACCAGTACCAAGAGGAGTTCCCTTCACTGCCTCAGGCCCAGCAGCCGCTTCCCCCTCGGCATCCGGCCTCAAACCAGGCCAAGCCCTCCCGCTGGAGCGAACGTCCTCGCCGGGGAGAGGCCTCTCAAACCTAGAATCCTTCCAAAAGCCAAGCCTCATCCCACGGTAGGAAGGAGAGACCAGTCACCCCCACCTCGCAGCCTGCGGGCAGGTTGGGGGCCTCCCAGCCGGTTAGGCCCGCATCACCTCAGCATTCTCAGTTTGAGCTTCCGCCCGCAGAAAACCAGTTCGAGGTCCTAGCCGCAGATTACAAGCAGGGTCCTTTGGCTCACAACTACCATCAGCAGTCCGAGCCCATTGAGCTCGGCAATACTGAAGCCAGCAGCACCAACGCCAAGCCGACGAAGCAGCAGCGGAGGCGCCGATAAGGTCGCCGAACCGCTACCCGCGTCCTACCCGAGCTCAAGGGTAAGAAGGAGGTAAGCTCAGATGAAGTAAAAGCTACTCCTCTCCTGTCGATCCCTTCCCCTCTGTCATCAGAACTTCTTGTGGTCCCTATGCCAAAGGACTTCAAGCTTCCTCCCTTGGATAAGTACGACGGATCCTTCAATCCGAATGACCATGTGGATGTCTTCCAGTCCCAGATGCACTTGGCAAGAGTCAGTGAATCCTGTATGTGCGTGGCTTTCTCCACCACCTTCAAAGGGGTGGCCCGCACATGGTACCGAAACCTTGCGCCCAGATCGATAAGAAGCTGGGCGCAATTCGTGCAAGTCTTTACCTCCCATTTTGTCACCAGCAAGAGATGCCCAAGAACTTAGGAAAGCCTCCTCGGCATAGTTTAGAAGGAAGGGGAGTCCATTCGGAGTTACATCAAGCGGTTCAATGACGCTTGTTTACAAATACCCGATCTAGACCCCGCAGTTCGTCTCACCGCAGCCAAGCGAGGCATTACCCATAAAGAATTCAAGTGGCATGTGGTAGTTAACCAGCCCAAGACTGTGACCGGTTTCCTCAAGCTCGCGGATTAGTTTATAGGGATGGAGGAGGAAATCAACCAGAAGCATGCAAATGCGCCCGAAAAGAGAAAAAGGGAAGGTGAGTCCTCGATTCAAGGGGACGGTAAAAAGAAAAAAGACCCAGCTCGGCGGGCAAGGCCGAGTCAGCCTTTCCGAGCTCCAGCATCAGAAAGAACGGACTATGCACCCCTGAGTGCGAAGCGGGCCGAGATCCTTATGGCGATCAAGGACGCCCCGTATGTGAAGTGGCCACCTCGGCTGAAGGCCAATCCTAGTGTAAGGAATAAAAATTTGTATTGTAATTTCCATAAAGACTACGGTCATAGTACCGAAAACTATAAAAACCTCCGCGACGAGATAGAGGAGCTCATCCGTCGCGGATACCTAAGGAATTTCGTACAGAATAGTAATAATAATAAAGCAAATCAGCAGGGGGAGCAGAATAAGGATGCTCCCGAATCCAGTAGGCAGGCAGAGCAACTGTAGAGGCAGCCCCCAGAAGAGAGACCAGTTCTGGGGGCTATCCACATAATGGTTGGAGGTTCGGTTGTCGCGGGTTGTACCATAGCTGCAGCTCAGACATCAGCTCGCGAGGCCGCCAAGGATGAACAGAACCCACCGAAGCGGCCAAGGATGGAAGATTCAGTCTTCTTCATGGAGGACGACGCGCGCGGGGTCCACTACCCCCATGATGACGCGCTCGTCATAAAGATAAAGATCAATGACTTTGAAGTCAAGCGTGTCCTTGTCGACTCCGGCAGCTCGGCGGATATCCTCTTCAAATAGCATTCGACCAGCTCCAGCTCCAAGATTGCGACCTGAAGCCCGCAAACACTCCCTTGGTAGGCTTCAGCAGAGAGGAAGTCAGGCCCCTGGGAAGGATTACAGTACCTGTGGAAGCCGGCACTTGGCCTAGCATTGTGAGGCTCAACCACGACTTTTCAGTGGTCACAACCCCCTCCTCATACAATGCCATAGTAGGTCGGCCGATCACCCATGCCTTACGAGCTATGGTCTCCACTTACTATTTGGCCATGAAGTTCCCCATGGACTTCGGAATTGGGATAGCGCGAGGTGACCAGCTTGAGTCTCACAAGTGCTACGTCGCCGCCCTCAAAGGGAAAGCCAATGTGGCCGACGACCTCGAGCTGGAGTGACCTACAGAGCAGTGCGAAGAGCGAGCTATGCCCACAAAAGAGACTGTCTCCATCCCAGCATCGGCGGAGGATCTAGCTCGGACACTTCAGATCGGTGCTTCCATAGAGGAGCCCCTACGATCTTAATTGGTACGCCTCTTACTTAAAAATTTAGATGTTTTTGCATGGTCTGCGGCAGAGATATCCGGCATAGACCCCAGCATCATAACTCACAAGCTTAATACTGATCCTGTAGTTAGGCCCGTTAGATAGAAGAAACGCAACTTTGCCCCAAAGCGATGGAGGGTGGTCGACGAGGAGGTCAGGAAGCTCCTCGTAGCCGACTTTATCAGGGAAGTCCACTACCCGAGCTGGGTGGCCAACCCCGTTTTGGTAAAAAAGGCTAATGGTAAATGGCGCATGTGCGTCGACTACACCGACCTGAATCGAGCTTGCCTAAATGACTGCTTCTCACTCCCCAGGATCGACCATCTAGTGGACGTGACATCAGGGCACGAGTTGCTGAGCTTCCTAAACGCCTATTCGGGCTACAACCTGATCAGGATGGACCTAGTTGATGAAGAAAAGACCGC